GGTTGGGGATCGCTGATTTATACTATTTTCCTTTGTCAATTAATGATATGTCTGATCTGTGATGAATTGTTTTGTTTAAGATTATAGTTGGTCATAAAATTCTATATTCACATGCATGCATGCATGCAACTATCAATCTTTTTTTTCAGTTTGAAAGGAACAAAAAAGTGACTCTTGATCTATATTGAGTCCAATTAAACTTTTCTTTGATTTTGATAAATGCCTGTGGTAAATGTATAGAGTTAAACTGATACTAAAATTTAGTACACCAACTGTTTAGCAATGCTAAATGCCAGCCGAGTTGACTTGTGCTTCTGCTTACAAACTATGCATTGGAATTAAGTGTTCCCCACAATGTAAATATTTGATTACTTGATTGTTTTTATCACATTCAACAGAATCAGTTAGTTTTGGTTAAGTTTACAAAAATTTTACTTTGGTAACTTACTTTACTTATAGGAGTCTGTACTAATTGAGCAATCATCAAAAATTGGTAAAAAGTTGCTAAAAATTTACCATAAAATTTATTCTGTTTTGAAGTGTAAACAATTAACGAAACTCATTCAGCAAATAATAAACTACAATACATCATAATACCTTAAGTTGCTGAGAAAAATTTATTAAAACATAACTAATGTTTTCGGTCAAATCAATTGGCCATCTTCAGGTTAATTGAGAAAAAATAACGATGTTCTAAAAATAGAATATATAAATTCAAATACAAATACAATGGAACAAATTCAAATACAGAATTAACAGAAGAATTATAACAAAATATATATATACATGTATAAAAATAAAACAACAAACAGATATTATATATCATGTAATAATATCATATATAAAATAGCATAAATGTAAAAATAAAAATTAAGGCTAAGTTATGAGCTCTTAAAAAACTTTTTAACTAAGTACTTCCGAGCAGATGGTAGCCCTTCTGCATCCCTTGCATTAATGCACGTATCTTGTAGCTTGCCCTTATAAATTTCAATCTTTTCTGTGCTCGTCACCAAAGTTGGGAAATGAATGGACTTAACAATATCTGCTTCCTCCCATTTTACTATGGAGCGTTCAGCCTGTGCTATCTGAGATGATACTGTGGCATTGGATCCCTTATTGACATTATATTTGTGCTCTTTCAGCCTGATTCCCAAATTTCTTGTACTAACATCAATATAGTTTTTCTTGATTGCTAATTGCATGTTCTCACAAGGAATCTCCTATACACTCCTGCTTTTGCTTCTTTATTAACACTGTCCTTATCATTCCTTAATATCTTATATAAGTTCAGAGCTCTTTTCAAAATCATTTTGGACTTTTTGCAGTCCGAAATTTCTTTGATGATGGTTTTTATTTTTACATTTTTTACATTTTAACTATTTTATATATGATATTATTATGTGATATATAATATTATATCTGTTTGTTGTTTTATTTTATTTTTATACATGTATATATACATACACATACATGCATAAAAATAAAACAACAAACAGATATAATATTATATATATATATGTATATATTTTGTTATAATTCTTCGTTAATTCTGTATTTGAATTTGTTCCATTGTATTTGTATTTGAATTTGAATTTATATATTCTATTTTTAGAACATCGTTATTTTTTCTCAATTAACATGAAGATGGCCAATCGATTTGGCCAAAATGTTAGTTACGTTTTAATAAATTTTTCTCAGCAACTTAAGGTGTTGTGGTGTAGTAAAGTGTAAATTTATATTGTAATTATAAATTTATGTATTTGATGTAATTATATGTTTTAGACAGGTACTAAAAAATAAGACAAGCAAAAATAAAACACACAGCTTTGGTTTCATTTTTGGTAGTTATATAATTGTAAGTACATTTTCTGGAATACACATGAAATATGCAAGAAAGTCTTTACTTAAATCTAAGATGCACCTTAATTTATATATACAGTCGACCCCCTATAACACGGTAGATACGTTCTGTGTTTTATGAATTCCATGTTGTACGAGTCACTTAAATACATGAGCGAATCACAGCCTGGCACATATACAGTTTAGGGACTATGGATGTTTGAAAGGTTTTCTTCCATAAATTAATCGATTCTAGACTAATTTGACTCAACATTTCCAAAATACGTATAATTTTTTGGGAATAATCCATATAAACTATACTATTAACAAAAAATTGTAGGATTACTTACCGAGTGTGTACCATTCGATGACACCATTGTTTAAGCTTGTTTTTGTCGCGGAGCGGTGCATCGAACGGCGGGCGCGTGGTTCCCGATAAGTTATCTTTCTGCGAAAAATTCGCTGAACTTTGGAGACATCATTAATATAAATATAATTTTTATGGCCGTTAAATAATAAATGGCTCTTAGTAGGTCCGCTGCTCATTTAAACTCAACGGTTTGTGCAATATCCGCTATTGGTCTAGATTCGACCAATCCTGTCACGACACAAGTCAGCAATGACGTTTTACCATATTATACGAGTCTCTTTTAGCGTGTTTATACGAATACGATCGCAATTTTTTCACCATATTATATGAATCCATATTATATGAACCCGTTTTATAGGGGGGTCTACTATACTCATTCATAAATTATACTTTTTAATAGATTACTCGAAGCAAATTTATGTCAACAAAATCAATATTTCTTGCAAGTAAAGTAAATTATACATCACTGTATTCTGTGATATTGAAATCAGAAACCCCTTCATTTGCTGTTATGCTTAATAACCTTTCATAATTCTACTGTTATTCTAACTTTTACAAGAATGTGTGGAATTTTTTATTACGTTTTATCTATGTGATCAATTATGAAAATTTTTAAGGGAATTTTTAATTTTTGATGACCAAGTAGCTTCAAAAAGTCCAGTTGTCATGGAATGTATTCCAAAACATAAAAGTGAATAAAAGGAGACTGTTTTGACAGACTTTGTCTTCAATCTTAATTAATATAAATGCTATGTTATCGATAACTTTGACAGAACAGAGAATGATCTACTGTTCAACAGGGTGAAAACCATGATGACAATGACATAGAAAACAGGAATGATGGATAGTGAAAGTTCTGGTGGAAATGAAAGCAACGAAATATTATTTCAATGACTTTCCAAATTTTTTTAAAATGCAAACTGCAAATTTTTTGAATGCAAATAAAATTATTGATGATAATAAAAAACTGACATATTTAAGTCATAAATTCTTCAAAAAAAATTCAAAATTGGGAGTTGACTTACATTTGGGCCAACATGGTGTTTTGTATGCATTGTTTAATGCATTTGTGGTATGGTAGCAGGATCTGTAATAATTTGTTTGCGTGCAATGTTTCATGTATTATGTTTGTTACTTGGTTAAGTTGACATAAGTACTTTGTGCGCTAAAGCTTGCAACCTGGCGTTGTAAAAAATGCTACATTTTGTACAAAACTGTGAATATTATCTATAAGTGTTATGTCTTTTGACCTAGTCTTTTATGGCAATTGTGAACTCTTCAACTTCTCCAGAGAGGCATTTTGATGGAATAACAATTCTCAACATAACTTTTCTTTGCAAATATTTTATTGCAATAATAAAGCCTTCTCACGAGTATTTTACAATATTTGTAAATTTTTACTATTACGTAAATTAATTATTGTGGCAGTTTTAACAAAAGTCAACTGCAGGAAAAAATCTCCAAGCACCAAAAAGAAAAGATACATTATGAGTTGCTACTTCATCAATAATGAAACTATTTCATCATTATTAACTTTTATTTTTATAGTTCATTGAAATTTTAAAATTCATAAGTAATTTGTTAATTGAGACAGAGAATTATAGTTATTCACTAATATAAAATAGAAATAAATTTATTTGCAAAATAATTAAGAGAATAAACGTTTTATATCCAATAATACCTTTTAATGAAAAAAAATAATAAAAGTATGGCTAAATTAAGACAACCAAAAAATTTAATAGTCAAGAAACATTTTTGGGCTATTTCAAAGTGTGACTTCGGATCGTACACAATTTGAATCGAATGTCAAAATCCCATGGCATTCCAGAGACAGAGTCAAAACTGGATTATGAAATGGTTGAAAAATTTTCTTGTCTGTTAAAAAAATGTTTGATTCTTTAATTTAGCTGTACTTTTATTTTATATTCAAACTGTAATGGCCATATTCACTAACTCAAGTTAAAGGTAGAATTAGATTTAAACTGTAAATTCAGTTGAATTGGTATTTGCCGTGCATTAATTCTAAATTTTACTCTTAAGTCTGAATCATTATTTAACCCGTCACTACTTGAGAGTTAATTCTCAAATTACAGATTTGGAATTTACATGAAGATTTCAAATTACTATTTGAAATCTTCATGAAATATCATTCTTATTTGATTTTTATTACAATATTAAGGTTTCCCAAGTTGAAAATAAGCAATGATGTACAGTAATCATTTACAATGAATGTAAACAATTTACATAAATAATTACATCATTGTAGGATTTTCAATTTAAAAAATTTCTATCCTTCCTTGTTTACTACTTTATGATGTTATAATTCCTGGGTAACTGTTATATTCTCTCTCTATATTCATTATTTACATTGCTCTCTACATTTGTTACCAAATTTTTTTTATTTTCTAATATACAATACATTTTTATATTTTACAACTAATTCTAATAATACTTTTGTCTCAAAGTGAATATAGTTTCTTTTACCCTGAAATTTCATTGTCTACTAAACTTTAAAATCACATGCTTAGTTTGTGCATGATAATTTGAACAGACACATCATAGTGCATTTGAACAAATCAAAAGACTTGTAACATAACTCTCCACTTCGATTTGAGGATTTTATAATCCAGTGTTGGATTGGATCAATGAATACAAAAAGTGAAATAATTCTTAATCTAGAGTAATCTACTCAAAATCTTGGATTACAAAACTTTAAATTTAAAACATTTTTGATGAATATGGACATTACAGTGTCAAGTTTTAAAGGTTTCTGGTAGTTTCTTAAACTTACTTTTCTAAAAATAATTTCATCTTTTTTAATCCTTGCACTTGTTTTATAATAATTGATCTTGCTGCCAGAATGCTTGATTTTATTTCTTCAGAAGAAGCAAACTTTTCAGCTTCAATATATGCTAAATTTAATATAAAAACTTCATTATAAAACTTTGTTGAGACAAAAATAAAAAATTTTTTTATGAAAGCCAAATTCATTTTAACATGTGGAGTTTTAAGTTTTAGGAAAAATTTTACAAAACAAATTAAAATATTGGAAAATTTACAGAAGAAATGCAACCTATAAAAACTATTGAAGATATATTGAATAAAATGATCAAATTGGTTTCAATTATATAAAGTAAACTTTTAATAAATTTAAAAAATACTTTTATTGGTCATGTTTTTCAAGTTTAAGGGTGGCCCACTTCACAATATACATTAATAAAATGCATTTGCATGCATATACACAACACATGTACATACACACCACAATTAAATTCTACATGTGGTTATGTTTAATGAATTTCAGGGAGGAGAGGATGCACACATGGGAGCCACCTCCTAAAATATCATAAAATATATCAAGTTTATTAAAATACATTGTCATAGGACTCAGCTATGTCCTCAAAGTTCCAGCCTTTTATCTTAATTAGAAGTGGATGAAGTTTAAGTTGCAAGACTTCAGGACATACAAAGCAAGTTAAATGAAAGCATTTAATAATAATTCTCAATAAACTTGATGAAAGGATGATGGCATTGATTAGTTTCAAAAATAAGTCTGAGTTGGAAAGGTGTTTTGTTCAACAATGTGGAAAATAAAGTGGAGGATATACCATATTTTACGGACTATAAGACACACCTTAATTTTTAAGCAATTTTTAAAAAAAAATAACATTTTTACCATTTTTATTATTAGATTGCAAAGCCAGAATAAAAAAAAAATACTTAGTTAATTAAACTGACCTTTAAAATCCCTAAAAATCATCATCTGAACTTTCTTCTTCTTCGTCGTCATCGTTGTCCTCTTCATATATAAGATGGTCTTCACTGCCATCGAGAGCGTTACTTATGCCGCACTTCTTGAAAGATTTAACAATAATGTCTCCTCTCTCTCTAGACCACGACTGTTTTATCCACTGACACACTTGTTTGATTGTAGGTTGTTTTAAAGCTCCCTTTGCTGTGAATTCCTGCTGGTCAACAGGTCTGTCGGAAAGGGCTCCTTATGACATATTCCTCCAGACATTAGTTACAGCACAGCAAGACGAAACAACCTTCTTCAGCAAGTCAGCTAACCAACTTAACTAGACGAGCTTAGGCAAACTTAGACCAACTTCAGTGTACTTCAGATCAACACGAATTCCCTTGATAGATCTTAGGAGAACTGAAACTCCCGCCTAAATTCAATCCTTTTATACAGATTGAAGCAAACACTGATCCACCAATCAACGCTTAGTAGAGCTATCGGATGTCCACTGATTGTATGATGGTCGCACAATGATTGCTGGCCAATCCGCAGTTGTGGATTCAGAACCACCAGTTGTCTCATGATCCGAGTTTCTATGGCGACAATGATTGCTCGTTTGAAAAGAGAAAAAGCGTGGGAATCGTACATCCAGACAATTCTATCCTGACACCCTGCAACTCACGTTCGTCGCATCGATGCACTCCTTCTGCCAGTTGAATTCTATGTTGCCAGATAAAGATAGGTTTCCCGCGGCATCAAATATATGGCCATTTTTAAGATGCAGGAATTTTAAATCAAACAATGGACACTTTTATATTAATTTCAAGTATAAGATGCACCTGAATTTTGGAGGCAATTTTTCGAAGAAAAAAAGTGCGTCTTATAGTCCGTAAAATATGCTATGGCACACTAATTTATTATGATTACCTCTATACAGAAGTTTTACTGAGCTTTAGTAGGTGATACTTCCTGCAATAATAAATTTGGCAGTAAGCTCAAAAAAATTTCATAACAATACGGTCATTGGCAATGTACTGTAAAATCTTTAGTAACTTACTGACTACAGTAATATAATTCACAGTATCACAAAGGCCTCTGAATATCAAAAACACTTGTTAATTATGGTTTTTCCTTTTTTCAAGGGACTGTAAATCATGAAAACATTGCAAAACCTCACAGGCATCCAGTTCTAAAACTAAATTGCTAAAAAACGTTTTTGGCTCATTCTGCATACTGCTTCAGGTTTTCAATATTCTACAAATGGAACATATACATACATACAAGAAAGATATTGGCTGTATACAACATGTTTAGCCAGCAGAAAAAAGGGTAAGGGAAAGGGAAGGGGAAGAAGGAGGGAAATGAGATAGACAGTAAAGAAAAGTAGGATCCCTCTGAACAGTGTCCATGAGGCTACAATACTCTCTATGTTGATGTTGGCAAGCAGTTTTTAGGCTGCAAGGCTGTAGTCCCCCAAATGGTCTAAAAGAAAACTGAGTTTAGTGAACACCAATAACTGAGTGCCACCATGAATAGCTAAGTGTAGAAGTTAGTGCCAAGTGGCTGTTAGTAGGAAGACATATAACTACTTAATGCTAATAAAATTGAATGCGATTGCAAATCTTAATACAGTAGAACCTCAATTATCTGGACTAATTGGGAATGAAGGTAGTCCGGATAAAGAAAAATCCAGGTAATCGAAACAAATACTTTAATTTGTCTTTTAATGACACTACAACACGTTTTCTTTTCGATGACATATCGGTAATATTAAAAGTAAATACTGTATTTAAATTGTGATCAAATTTTCAAGAAACAAACGTTCGTATTGAATTTGGACTACTACTGATCAACGCTAATAGACTATCTATTGTTTAAAAGGCCCTCTGGTGGTGCAAGACGATGGATTTTATAAAACAAAAAGCAGTTGAAACTGCATTTTTATGAATAAAAATTTGACAAACTACTTATCGTTTTATGACGAGTAAAATTTTTTCGTCGCGTTCGCGGCTTTTAAGTAATGCATAAACCTTCGAGGCGCGAGGCCCTTCGGACCGCGAGGCATAGGCGGTGGCCCACGTCGTCCATGCCTTACGCCGCCCTTGGTCATAGAAATGATGTAATTTGAATATAAATTATTTATAAATACATATGTCAAATTATACTTTTATTACTACGTAAAATATATTTAAGAGTTTACGACCACTGTGCCGGGTGAGACGTTGTTGAAACAAAATTTGTTATGCATTCCATCACGTACATAAACAGTGTCATAATTCGCCAAGTGCAAATCAGCAAATTTGTAAAATTTTTGTTTATTTTGAACAATCCGGATAATCGAAAATCCGGATAATGGAGGTTCTACTGTACTACTTAACAGCTAGACAGACAGCACAAAAACAAATGAACACAATGACAAACTAGATGAGACAAACAGACTGATAGAGACAAATGAGCAAGACCCCAAAATTTTTTTATTTTAATTATTTTTATGTATGTATTTATTTATTTGTTTATGTTTTTTTTTTTAACATTAACTTACTAACTAAACTAACTGACCATAACTTAGGACAAACCTAACCAGATGACTAAAGCTAACAAACCTTAATCTAATTTAACCTAACTTATCATAACCTAACTGGAAACTAAGCTAAGAGTCCCTAATCTAACTTACAACTAGGACTAACTGAATTTAGACTGAAAAAGAAGACAGAAAGTAAAAATTAAAATAGAAAGTTAAAAAGCAGCTATATACCGACAGTTGAAACAAAGCAAGGAAAAGCTAATTGCCATCTGTGCCTCCAGAGCGAGTGCTCTCAAGAGCCCCACTAAGGGATATGAATGTGAGTAGATGATGGAGCATTGTATGCATGAATGAATTGACATATAGAGAACATTGATTGAATGCAAATTTAAATTGCTATGCTACCATCAAACCTCAATATATATCATCACATAATAGGACAGGTGCTTTAATTGGATGGTGCATTATTCACAATGACAGATTGTACATCTCTTGCTAAGTGTGTGAAATTTGTTTTTCCTCTTTATAGTTGATGCACATGCGCTTCTTGTCAGCTTTAAAAATGTCCTCCGTATCTTGGATATGTTTACTGTGCCTGGCCGTACGGATCAACCTTGCTTGATGTAATTTTGCCTCAATGTTGTTATCAGAGGCGTACGTGAACAGGGCAGTGGCAAGTTTTCCATTATTGATGTCATATTTGTCTTTCCTTATCTGCTGTTTCAGAGATATCCAGTGATGAAGCCAACATATACCTGGTCCTCCCAACCCTGTGATTCCTTAGGGGTCACATACAATATATCCAAGGAGCTCTCAGGGTGTTTAAAAGGTCTTTTCCATTTTTTCAGTACTGTATAGATGGCTGCATTCTGTTTGTATGCTAGTATGTGCCATCTAGCTATCTGTCTGTATATTGGGTTCATAACTGATTGATAGGCAGGTAATACACCCTTGCTCAGTGCTATTTGTGTTTTGGTTATTTGGGATGGAAAGGCTTGTTACATTGGGATTGGTATTTACTAGCCAGGCCCTGGCCCTCAACTACTTTTCCATGGAAACAAAATTTCTGAACTAATTTGTAATATGTGTCAGCTTTGCTTTTCTATCTGCATTATTTGTTCAGAAAACACTTATAGAAAAGCTGGAAACAAATATACCAATCACATTATGCCTTACATGCTTTTCCATCACTGGTTTAATCAGAACAAATGTTTTTGACCCCATTCAGAGGTCTGCCTCAGGTTAAAACATATTAAAATACAAATTAAAGAGATCTGAGTTGTAATGGTAGAACCACAACTACAATTTTTAAATTTATAAAATTCAAAAAACAAAGGATTTAAGAATTTTCAAAGTTCTATAAAAGTTTTTTCAAAGTTCTATTTTTAAAATACATAAATAAAAACCACAAAATAAACTGGAACAATATATATTCTCACCTAAACATCAAATTTCCAGCAAAACACCCAAATTCAACGTTCAAATGTTTTCAGCCACTCGTTAATCGGCCTTCATCAGGAAAAATCAAAATGAAAATAACTGTTCTATTTATAGAATTTTGCCGCATTGTACACGTAATTTTAAAAATTTTTAAAAATTGGTTTGAACATCGGCTGTGACGAATATTAAGCAACGTATAATGATGA